ATAATACCTAGAATAATGATCCGTCGCAATATATAAAAACCAACGTGAATCGCGGGGCGGTCCCCTATGCGGGTTACAGGGCCCGATAGGGGAGCGCTAATAAGTTAAGATTTCGCGAAAGAATAATTTGACCAAGAGAGGTCCGCAGATACGATATGTGTCGCCGCTGTTTCCGGTCGTATTATCCACGGTTGTTTGTTCGCGACCCGGGGCGCGCGTACGGGGCGCGGAGCGGTGCGCGGCGCGAGCGCTCGGTCGGCCGACGCGGTCACGCGCTCGTGGCGTGTACGGGTGTCCCTGCTCGGTGCGCGCGTACGGCGCGCGGGCCGTACGCGAGTTCGAATCTCCGCGCACGTCGAAACCGAGGGCAAAGTCGAGGATCGTGTCGACGGGAATGGGGAAGCGAAGCGTTCGAGAAACGCTCGGATCGAGGCGAAGTAACGCTTCACCCTAGTATCGCTCCTCCGGGTGCGAGGAATTCGGAGTGACCCCTGCTGAGAAGCGCTCAGCCAGGAGCAGAGAAACGCTCTACTCCTGGGTATTTCGGGGCCACTGTGCGGAGCGTAGCTGGAGGTCTTCGAACCGAGACGCCACCGAGAATCGCTCGGACCGAGGCAAAGCCGCTCTTTACCCCGGTGTCGTCGGTTCGTGAGACGGTCAGGAACTGGTAGCCTTCCTGGCTTCGGAGCCCCTTATATACTCTCGCATTCGGCCGCGATCGGCTCTGTTCGGTGGTTTCCGGTACCGTTACATGATTTACGGTAACGTCTTTGTCGGCTGGCCTTAAGTCGCCAGCCGACGACCTTTGGAACGCTTAAAAAATGGGGCGCACCGCGCCTTCCTCGCCCGACGGTTCGTCGGTCGGGCGGCATCCGGCGGTTGTTCGGCCGGGAACGATGCACTTTCGGGGGTGCATCGTTACAACTTTATTTGCATCTATTAATAGTTCATCATCGCTCTCAGAATCACTCTGATCATCAGACGAATCCACAAAATCATTGATAATCATTGATTGCAATTACCCAGTGAGAAGGCTGATGTCGAATCGACGTCGTTTCGATGTCGATGTCATCGAAAACTCATCGAATCGAAATTGACATCGAAAATAAGACCATTTCGATCAAATTGTTTTAACATCAAAAAATACTTGTTTCCAAGTTACCAATGTCCAAAACCCAAAATTAGTCTAAAATTAAAAGTTAATCATGCATATATACCCAGTGAGAAATAATTGGTCGAAAATACGTCGAATCGACATCGAA